AAGCACGTTTTGCACATAGAAAGCGTTATGGCGGGACACACTCAGATCATTTTGCTGTCAGTTCAGTATTTCCAAAAAGTTTTCTTTAAATAGTGCTAAGTGGTTTCATAAGTGATTTAGTAACTTTGTCAGTTGCAAATTATTGTTTAGTGATACAGGTGATTATGCCACCCAAGAAACGTCAAACCAGACTTCAAGCACAAAAATTAAAACAAATAACTTACAGAGAGTAAGAAACAGAGGAGCAACATGATGTACGACTTCAGGCTCAATGAATAAGACAAGCTCAAACACGATCTAATTTCAAATAAAGCTTTGTTTGATTAAATGCTTTTTTATCTCTCGCATCACAGCTTTTGCATACTTACTGAATAATCTGCTGAAAAATATACTGATCTATACATTTCAAACCTAAAGTTTCACTGTGCAACGCCGGGTAACTCAGCTAGTTACAGAATTGTGATGGAATGTATAAAAGACAGATTCCACTGATTTGTATAACGCACTAATTTTCCAACTTTTCCTCATAATTCTACTTGATGAACACCACTGTAGCTTGTAATCTGGTTATAAAAATCTACAGAAATGTATCTTTAACTCTTATTTTCGGTTTGTGTAAATCTACCTACCACCCCATACGCAAAGATTTGCGAATTTTTGTGGTGGACCATTCAAAATGTTGCGCGCAAAATGCTTGCATCGTACGATGTCAACCGGAGTCGCCTATGCTAACATCAAATGATGTCAATCGCAGTTGAAGGGTTAAAAATGGACATTGAACATGATGGCAGACAATAAAATATTACAGTTTCATTTATAAGATAATATTTTATTTAACTTGCCATCAAATATAACGAGACATATAACAATACCAGACAAAATAACAAATACTGAATGATCAAGATTATGTTAAAATATCCCAATAACTGCCATTATTTTGGTGTGCGTGCAGGTTCTGAGATAAGAAAAAAAAAGGAATACTTTTCTCCGACTTTTCCAAAATTCGGAAAAACAACAACATTTTCTCCACATTTTTGGCTATTTTTTTTCTTCTAATTTTCTGGCTTTTCCAGGTTTGTGGCCCTGTGATGGGGCGCGTAAGGCTTACACTATTTTTCATAACAAGAACTCGTTGAATATGCTAACGTTACACTCATTTTATTGTTCTTAGCCACCAAAGCATCTTAAACATGATGAATAACGCAGCTGGGTGTGATAAGTGATTCTGGGAACGCAAGGAAAACAAATAATTTTACTTGGAAGTGAATCTTTCTCTTAAATATTTTAACAAGGAATGTTGAGCAATTAAACAAAGAACAAAACAACTACACAATCCTTAGACATTAACTCACGAAAGAGACATTTCTAAAAGCAGATGTTACGTTCATAAAGTTGTTCACAAAGAAATGTCACCTTTGCGAGATAATATGTGTAGAAAAAGTAGTTATTACTTTCAAAAATGTTTTTGCAATATTACGATAAAGGTGAGAAATTAGAAAACAGTCTACCGAGTTAAGGTTACATTGATTTTTCTTCTAAGAAAACGATTTTTTAATAACGCATTTCAAATCTGCAGTTCTTCAAAGTTCCACCCAACTTTCAGAAGGGATAGATTTAGTATGCAGAACCGTAATGTGCAAGTTTTTTAACGTTCCACCAATTTTCCCAGAACAAGATACCCAATACGGTTCTGCTTACTAAGCTACGTCACTCTTACAGCACATCCATATCTCCAAAGTGCGGAACGCATCTTTGCGGTAACGGGAGGCGAGCCATTAATAACTTGGATTCACAGTCCGGCCGTGCTAAATACTTGGCCACGACCGGCCCAACTTACGTATTCTAGAAACTTTATATCAAGGCTTACGTGTGATAGGGAATCTGTTTTCAATAAGCGAGAAATTGAAACTGATTGACCTCAGCGTTGGTTTGAGAGCCATGTGATCAAAATATTTTTTTTTTTCGCTGTCTGCAAACTATTTTTCCAAACCACTGTGAAATACAGAAGTAAACAGAAAATCTGAATGAGCCGTTCCTACGATACATACTCGTTTGTGTGTGTTGTCATATATATAAAAAACAATATACAAATGACTAGAATATTTTGAAGAACTCTTATTTACTACAGCTAATTTAAAAGAAATAAGTAAAAACCACAAATACGTAAAAGCATAAAATACCGCTATCGTATCATCCAGCATACTTTTCAGTTTCGATGACGAGGAACCC